TTATAGGTAACTACCTGCTTTGCTCTTGCTGCTTTTAATATTCTCTCTTTGTCTTTTGCTCTTGGAATTTTAATTATGATTTGTCTCGGTGTGGTCCTCTTTGGATTCCTTTTGTTTGGAGTTCTGTGCACTTCCTGGACTTGTAAGTCTAATTCTTTCACCAAGTGGGGGAAGTTTTCTGTCACTATTTCTTTCAGTATGTTTTCGATATCTTGCTCTCTCTCATCTTCTGGGACCCCCATAATTCTGATGTTGGTTCGCTTGAAATTGTCCCAGAAGTTTCTTACATTATCTTCAATTTTCTGGATTCTCTTGCCTTTTAGCTTCTGCGGAGGAGTGTCTTCTGGCTCTTTATGTTCCAAATCTTTGACTTGATTCTTGCGATCTTCCATTCTGTTTTTAGGACTCTGTATAATATTTTTTATTTCAGACAATGTATTCTTTATTTCTTGTTGATCCCTTATCATTTCTTGTTGATCCCTTATCATTTCTTGTTGATTCCTTATTAATTCTAGTTGATCTCTTTTCATATCCTCATAGGTCTTATTGATCTTTTCTAGGAAATTCTTGAAAAACCTTGTAAGCGTAGATTTGAACTCTATATCCAGTCGCTTTTTGTCCTCCATTTCTTTCGTTTGTGATCTATTTCGTGTCGCATTTCGCAGCTACAGATGGGGCGGAGTTTCAGGGTGGAGCCTACAGCCTTGACTTCAGCCCCGCCCTATGCGGTTCCTGGGTCTCAGGGTCCTTAGTACTCGCTGCAAGCGCCTCTGAGAGAAAGGTGCCCTCGATTTTCGCCTGCTACCAACCAGTCTAGGCTCTCCCCCAATGAGCCCGGAATGGGGTTCAGTTCAGTTGGAAGTGGAGTTGGAGGTGGCGTTCAGAGCAGTCTGGAGCCCCAGTCTCCTTCCCGCCAGGGCAATCCCGCAGCACAGCCAACCGTCCCTTCTCTGCGCGCAATGTGTGTGCCTCCGGGACCTCCTTTCGCCGCTCCCCCGGGTTCCGCCTTACAGCCCAGCTCCCTCTGTGTGAGCCTGGGTCCCCGGGGTCTGGCCTAGAACTGGGGTTCAGAGCAGTCAGAACTGGGGCCCAGCACAGTCGGAGCTTTTATCTCCTTCCCGCTAGGGAACGCCAGCCAGGCACTCAGCCGCCCTCCTCTCTGGCTCTGTCCTCTCCGCGCGCCGTGCGTCTCCGTACCTTAGGCTTTTCCAGCTCCTCCGCTCTTCCTTCTGGTTTTCTCCTTGCTTCTCGTGGTAGAATTTCCAGTCAGTCGATTTTCCTGTAGTTCTGGGTAATGTCCATTTTATATTTTAGTTGTATTTTATTGAAATTGTGGCTAGGTGCCTACCCGAGCAGCCATCTTGGATTCTCTACTTATTTAAAAAAATAGTTTTGTTGTTTTCAGAGAGAAAGGAAGAGGGAGAGAGCGACAGAAACATCAGTGATGAGAGAAATCATTGATCAGCTGCCTCCTGCATGCCCCCTACTGGGGATTGAGCCCACAACCCGGGCATGAACTACAAGACAAATAAGCACAGAGAAGGCCAGAACGCACTCACTGGAGGTAGGAAATTATCAGAACGCAGTGCAGAGACAGAGGAAGTAAAAACATGAAGAATAAATGAAGAGATGAGGATAATAAAATGAAAGACATACATGCTTCACCAAGGTTCTGGGAGAAGAAAACGCAAGAATGTGGAAGAACATCTGTAGAGACGACAGGGAGTCTTCCAGAATTATTGACAGAGGCCAGGCCTCAGAATCAGTAAATCCAACAATTCCCCATGGGAGAGATGAAAAGAAAGCCACACCTAATTCTGCTCAAAATGGAGGATTAGTTAATCCTAATTTTATTAAATAACAAAACTCCACTAAATGACAGAAAAGGAAATTTTAACATCAAATAATATAAAACCACAATACAGGAACAGCAGGAGTGGAGACAACCTGGAAGAGGATGGATGAGAAGTAACTGACCTAGTATATCTGAGACAATCCTCAAGCCAGAAACAGGAAGTTGGACAAATGGCCCAGTTACATCACAGAATCTTCAAAGGACTGGGACTGAGAGCACTGTGTGCCCCGGGAAAGGGAAGGGAAGTGGCTGAGCGAGGGACGGCCTCCCCAGCTCCTCGCTCCGGCCATACCCGGCAGAAGTCTAGAAGCTACTCTCTGGACACCTGAAACGTTACCTGGCCTGGGAGGCGATCGGCACCATTGAGTCCTGGGCACCATATGGAAAACAGGGGGACTGAGTGACCATGTCAATAACAAATGCTTCCAGAAAGAACTCTGACATTCTTGCCAACTGCTTGAACAAAGGTGCCAAGATAACTCAAAGAGGAAAGAACAGTCTTTTCACTGAACGGGGCTAGGATAACTGGATGTTTGCATGCGAAAGAATGGATTTGGACCCTACTTCGCACCATATACAAAAAATAACTCAAAATGGAGCACAGACCTAATGTCAGAGCTAAAACTATGAAGCTCTTAAATGAAAACAGGAGGCAGGACCACCTGACCTTGGCCACTAACTGGACATATAGGATTTGAGCAGAAAGTGACTCAGGTTTGGCCTGGTGCCTGAGGACAGGAAAGGGGCTTCCCGAACACCCAGGGGAAGCAGTGCTGCTCGGGAGAGTTCGCACCGGCGGCCCCGAGATGGCTAGTCTGAGAGCCCTGCCTGCAAGGCTGGCTCCTGGTTGACTCCTGGGCACTTAAAATTTGAGAGGGTTCCCACCATTTCCAGAACTATTAAGAATGGGAAAAAAAGAAGAGGAAGAGGAAGAAGAGGAAGAGGAAAAGAAAGAGGAGGAGGAAGAAGAATGGCTCACTGCACCTAAACCGTTTGTGTAAATAATATGATTTGTGTTAAATGCCTGCTTTCCTTCTGGGAGTCTGGAGTTTTTGTACTTTCAGGATCAGGGGTGGGAAACCTTTTTTCTACCAAGGACCATTTGGATATTTATTATATCATTAGAGGCCAGATTCGTGCACCGGTGGGGTTCCTCGGCCTGACCTGCCACCCTCTCGCAATCCAGGGCCCCTTGGGGAATGTTGGACTGCCAGTTTTGGCTCGATCCCTGCAGGCCAGGCCAAGGGACCCCACCAATGCACGAATCTGTGCACCAGGCCTCTAGTATGCATGTAAGATTTTTGGTTAATCTCTTTCCACCGTCCCTCTGAGATTCATCAGTCTGTTCCATGTTTCCATGCCTGTGAGTTGAGCGTCTGCCCCTTGTGGTCAGTGCACATCATAGCATTGGTTGAACAGTTGCTTAGGCTTTTAGATAGATAGATAGATAGATAGATAGATAGATAGATAGATAGATAGATAGATAGATTGATTGATTCTCAGGTCATACAAAGTTGTCAAATTAAAAATTAGCCTGCTATATTTGGCCAGAATTTAATTAACTAACCCCTAATGCCTTGACAGGGCCAGAGGGTCCTCACTCGTGTTCTAGATAGAGACTGCCTACGTGAGCAGCTCCCAGTAAAATCCCTGGGCCCTGGCCCCTTCAATGAGTGTCCTGGTGACATCATTGCAAATTTTGTGACAGCTCACTGCTGGCGGAATTAAGCACATCCTGTGTGGCTCCACTGGGAGAGGACTCGGGAAGCCTGACCTCATTTCCTCCAGGCTTCGCCCACGTGCCTTTTCCCTGCGCTGTGCCCTCCCAATGCGGAAAGTGACTAACTGGAGCCCTGTGAGTCCCAGTAAAGCAGTGGCATGGGGTGGTCTTGGAAGCCCGCCACAGGCCTAGACAATGAGAGCAAGCCAACTTGCCTTCATAGCACAAAGTCAAATGGGAGCTTCAAAATTCCATGGGACAACTGGAGCTCTGGGTGCTCGTGACAATGTGTGCACAGGCCTGGGTTCCCATACCCAGCAGGAAACTGTCGCACAGTTTTCCGGGCCCACCAGATTTCTGCTAGGGGGCTGAGCCTTTATTTCTCAGGAAGCTTGACTTGTGGACCAGCCATGTTCACAGCAGAACTTGCCCAGCCTCCTGGCTGAGCAGCTGGTCAGGGGCGTGAATCCCTGCAAAGCAGCACCCTGTCCTCTTCCCACCACACGCCCGCCTCTCTCAGCTGTCGACTGATCCGTTCCCAGCTGCTGTCCACCCACAGGGCTACACGGTTCCATGTGCCATGCCTCTACAGCCAGGGTACATACAAAAACATCTTGGAGGAAGACGTTTTAAATACCACACTAACTTTAAAAGTGCACAAAAAAGTGCTTTGTAGACAATAAAGTGCTTTCCAGAGGTAGTGTATTATTAGGCTTAACAGGCAGGTGTGTAGGCCATAAAATACAGTAACACCTTTGATGTAATGCTTCCAGCACTAAGTTATACCTCCAGACTCACCCTCTCCATTCCTCTAATTACAAGTCACATAAAGCCTGCAAACACATTTAATTTTGGCTTCAGGTTTCAGTTTTGTTGATCTTGAAAAGTAAACATGACCTCCATGTTAACAAGAAACAACTTCATCCACAAGAAAAGCCCACAGGCCCGTCCATCCCAGCAGCCTCGGAATTCCCTGCCTCCCACCCGGTCCTCCTCTGGGCCCTCTCCTTCACACACACATGCACCCGCCTCCACATGAAGCCCATTTTCTATAAAAATATATATTTTTATTGATTTCAGAGAGTAAGGGAGAGGGAGAGACAGAAACATCAACAATGAGAGAAAACCATCCATCAGTAGCCCGCAACCTGGGCATGTGCCCTGATCGGGAATCGAAGAATCATGACCTCCTGGTTAATAGACTGATGCTCAACCTCTGAGCCATGCCAGCTGGGCAACACATGACCGGGCTGTGGAGGGGTGAGACCACTCAGTGACTGCCTCTTCACACTTCATACAAAGTTATGAAATATCAACAGAACTGATTTCTACTAAAAAAATTATTTAAAAATAAAATGTAACTGAAATGAATTAGTGCTTGTGAAAAGCATCTTAAAAATGTCAGTATCATTCCCTGCTGCTTACCCCATTCTCAGCACGCTTTTCTCCAGGTACATTCCTCTGGGTTCTCTGCTCTTGGGTCTGACGGCCACCTAAAGAAACAAGAGGACCAAACTTACTACACATGTACTAAGGACAATTAAAAATATTCTTATTGATTTCAGAGAGGAAGGGAGAGGGAGAGGGAGAGATAGAAACACCAATGATGAGAGAGTCATTGACTGCCTGCCTCCTGCATGCCCCCCCCTCCCCCACTGGGGATGGAGCCCACAACCCAGCCATGTGCCCTGACTGGGAATCAAACTACGACCTCCTGGTTTATAGGCTGACGCTCAACCACTGAGCCATGCCAGCTGGGCCCCCGTCTGCTCTTTACCCACCAGAAGCCATGGGTCCTGTAGAGGAGGAAACAGAGGCACAGGGAGGTACAGCCACTTGCCCCAAGCCCACACCGTCAGCAGCACAGCGGCAGAGCCCAGGTGGCCTCGACCCTAGCACCAGGCACTAGCTGTGCCTGCACATGACCTCTGTCAGGTCACTTACACACCAGGCTTTGGTTTCCCAAGTGTGAGAGGTGACTCGAGTACATGTCCTCTGTGCGTCCTCTCGCTGCATCTAGAGGACTTGCACCCTGCTAGGCGGGCAGCTCTACCTACACTCAAATATGCCGCCTTTCAAATAATATCATCAGTGAGAACTGCCTGTCCCTCACTCTGGGGGAAGCACCGAGGAAACATGAGTCTTGGACCCTCAGTGCTGGCTGCTCGGACCATAAGCTGGAAAAGTCCAGTGAACAGGACAAAACAGGGAGCTGATGCTCTGGGCGCTGTTCTAACTGCCGCTTTTCTCGAGCTGACAGACACACAGCACAAGCATGAGCACAGGAAGGAGCAGGCAGAGGGCAGAGCATCACAGCTGGGGGATAGTCTTCTGAGTCAGAGCACGGGAGAGAATGACTATGTAAGGAAGGATTGGCAGAGGAGGGGGAGGGGACAATGATCACCTCGCACCTGTCAGAATGGCCGTCATCAATAACACAACAAACCTGCGTGCTGGTGGGGATGTGGAGCAAAGGGACCCTCGGGCACTCCTGGTGGGATAGCACTGGGCAGCCACCATGGAGAACAGTTTGGTGGTTCCTCAAAAAATTAAAACCAGAGCTACCTTGCAACCCAGCAATTCCTCCAAACAACTCTAAAACACTAATTCAAAAAATATGGGCACCTCTTTGTTCATTGCAGCTTTATTTACAATACCCATGCTATAGAAGCAACCCAAGGGTCTATCAATAGACAAGTGAATAAAGAAGATGTGGTACATATATACAGTGGAATATTACTAAGCCATAAAAAAGAATAAAATCTTATCATTTGCGACAACATGAATGGACCTTGACGATATTATTCTAAGTGAAGTAAGTCAGACAGAGAGAAACAAATACCATATGATTTAAAAAATATATACATTTTTAAATTTATTTCAGAGAGGAAAGGAGAGATAGATGAGACAGAATCACTGATCGGCTCCTCCTTCACGCCCCCAAATGGTGATCACATCAATGATGACACAGAATCACTGATCGGCTGCCCCCTGCACGCCCCCAAATGGTGATTGAGCCTGTGACCCGGGCATGAACCCCTGACCGGAATTGAACCTGGACCCTTTCAGTCTGCAGGCCAATGCTCTAGCCTCTGAGCCAAACCTGCTGGGCAATACCATATGAGTTCACTCATACATGAAACCTAAAGAACAAAACAAACAAACAAGGCAGAAATGGACTCACAGACAAACTGCCAGTTACGAAACAGTCCCAGCCCAGGGAGTGCCGTCAGTAATGCTGTAATAACTAGTGTGCTAGCAGGTGGGCACTAGGATCACTGAGGATCACTTTGTAAACTGTATACTGTCCTCAGGACTCCAGACAGCTCTCTTAGATATCCCTAACACTTCTAAGCGTCATGGTGAGAAATGAGACCTTCCCCTCGCCTCACCAGCACAGGACATGAAGGGTTACACACACATATTACAGTGACATGAGTAAAAAGTACAGCTACTTGGGCACAGCTAAGGGAGGGAGGGCATTCGGATGTGGAGGGCTCGGTAAAGGGTTCGGGTGAATTCTTAGCACGAGAGCACTGCTGTGGGCTGCACGGAGCTAGCAGATGCCTGCAGGAGCAGCTCTGGCCTGACGCAGGAGGGGATGAAGAGCCAGGCCTGCAGCCATGGTCTCCTGACCCCGATGCCCAGCAGCCAGTGGAGGAAACCCAGAAGAGATGGCGTCCGCCAACCAGCGGTGAAAGGGTTCCTGGAGAGAGGGCACACTGTCCTGTCATGTAAAAGACAGACGAAGAAGAACTTGCATAAGGAAGTCTTTTTCAGAATGGTATCCTTTTGCTGCTGATTTTCTAAAATAGCAGAAGGAATCCACAATCACTCTCAAACAGCAAGCTGAGGGTCTCTTCACTGCACAGTTCTATGCTCTCAGAAAAAAAGATCCCCTTTTTGGTTAAATTTTAATTCTCAAAGAGGCAGTATATTCCCATGATTCAAAATGCAAAAGGAACAAACAGGTAAACAACCCCCAGCTGCTTCTTTTTTGTAATCCTCAGCCACGGGTATGTTTTCATTGATTTTTGGTTAGAGAGAGAGGAAGGGAAAGGGAGGCAGAGAAACATCCATGTGAGAGGAACATTGATCGGTTGCCTCCCATACATGCCCCGACTGGGGATCAAATCCACAGCCTAAGTTTGCGACCTGACCAGGAATCAAACCCGCAAACTACTGTGTATGAGATGACACGCCAACTAACGGAGTCACCTGGCCAGGGCGTTCCCTCCCAAAGACACTTCAGACATGCACAGCCAATATGGACATAGGCCTGTCTGTCGCAGAGGTAACACGTGTGCATACTATTTCCCATGGTGCTTAGTCTCGCGGGTGTCCGGGACCTGGGTCGGGCACATGGCTTGCAGTCACAGCTGCAAGAGGCCACTGTTGGAGGCAGCACGATTTTCCGCCCAATGGCCCGTAGGCATGCAGGCTGCTCCTACTGGCAGTGCCTCCTGAGTGACCATATACCCACCATCCTGTCCATGTGCAGCACAGCTTTAGGGCGAGTTCTCGGAAGTGAGGTCGCTGGGTGAAAGGGCTCATGCTGTTGGAAGTGGAACAGACATGACTAGCTGCCCTCGGCAGAAGCTGTCCACTGGCGCTCCGCGAACCCAGGGGAGAGCGCCTGTTCCCGGCCCCCAGCACCGCCACTCATTTTTTTACTGGGTTTTATTTTATCTCATTTTTGGTATCAATTTTTAGGAACTCTTTTTATGTGAAATAAACCAGCCCTTTGCTAATGAGCTACATGAATGCCATTTCCAGTCTATAGTTTGTCTTTTGAAATTGCTTAAGGTGGCTACTGCCAAACAGACAGTTTTTGCTGTTTTTAGTAATTCAGTTTCTTTTCTTTTTTGGATTATTGTTACACTTAGAAGGTTCTGTCCACTTTAAAAAAACATATTTCATTTTTCTAATCCTTTCAAATGTTTTATTTACTCTAAAACCCTAGATATTTGATCCATCTGGTATCTATCAAAAGCAATTCTTTGAACAGCACGTCTGAGTGCATTCCTGGGCTGTGGTACTGAGAGGAAGGCAGGGCGAGGCGCCTGGACTGTGAAATAACTGAAGTGCAGTAACAGAGGCCAAAGGAATGTGGACACCAACCCTCCCTCTCACCCCGTGAGCGAAGGGGCAACAAACACAAGTAATTCATTTGAATACTCAGTCCTATTTTTAAATTAAAATTTACGGCAAAAATTAACCAAGGGAGGGAAAGCACTCATCTACCTTGTTCACTGCTCTCGGTTGGGGAGTCCTCATGTCGAAGAAAAAATTTCACTTCTTCCCTCCGCGGCCCCCACTTCTGAAGGTGCTCATACATCATATGCTCAAAGGGTATGGGGCGCTCTGGAAAAAACACACCGCGTTTATCTCAGACACAGACAGAGTAATTCCTACCCAAAGCAAAACATAAAGACAGTTAAATAAATATACACATGAATTAGAATTCAAGAATATTGCAAGCACTAATTTTTAACTTTCATGAAATAAAGCAGGAATAAGAATGGGCAACAATGCAGGCAACCAGTAAACGCAAGAAGTAAACATAAAACAGCTTCCCACCATTAAACAGGCAGCCCTGGGGGAAACGCCTTCACAGCGTGTGTCGTGAAGCAGTGTGCCTCCCCCTTCGCCGGCACGCATCAACGCCGTGCACCTGCTCTTGGTTGACATGCTGCCTGGTGATCGGATGTAGAGGGGCAGCAGCGCCTGCCTCGCCGTCCAGGGAGTCCACGAGCACTGCACAGCCGCTCATGCAGCACTATCCACAGAAGCCCAGAGTGAAAGCAGCCCCAATGCCCATAACTGATGGATGGATGGATGGGTAAGACATGGTGTCTCAGACAATGGCGACCATCCGGCCACACCACCAATAAGTACTAATACAGGCTTCCCACACGGATGCACCTTGAGAACATTATTCTAAGCGTAAGCAGCCAGACAAAAGAGGCCACATACTGTGTGATTCCACTTATCCGAGGACCTGGCGTGGCAAACCCACAGAGCCGGAGAGTGACACAGTGGCTGCCTGGCTCAGGAGGAGGAAGGGGAGGGGAGGTGCAGTTTGGTGATGGCTGCACAACACTGTGAACGTCCTAAAAGCCACTCAACCGTATACTTTGAAATGGTGATTTTTATATTGTGTGAATTTTACCTCACTTTAAAGGGGAGAGGGGAGTGAAATCTTGAAATATTCCCATTATTGCTTTACTTGAAAGTTTGAGGAAGGATACTATAATAGCAAGCCCCAAGGTTTGTAGAAACGGTCTGGGGAGAGACAGAACAAAAAGGAACAGTATTGTCCCTTCCTTCTGCTCAGTCTGAGGACTGGACTTTCAGCCAAGAGGAAGGACGAGGTGAGCATACCCTATCACACATGCAGGGTGACGAAGGGGCCCTCAGTCAGCTCTCGTTCCCCTCGGAGGAAGCCCTGCTCCTGCTCAGGGGAGTCTGGCGGGACACACAGTGGTCTCCCTTGTGGTTGAGGAGGGCCGTCCTGAGCACAGGGCTAGCTCTTAAAGCGCGAGAGGACAAATTTAAAAAAGAGAGCAAAGAAAACCCTGTCCCTCCCAGAGTGATGTGGCCTTGGCCTCCTGCATGTGCAGGCAAGCTTCACCTCCCTCGCAGACTTAAGGGCAAGGACAGAAATGGTCCCATCTCTGTTGAAAATGAAATCTGTGAGCTTAGCTCAAGTTCAACTCAGACTGGGTATTACAGCAAAAAATGAGCACAAATTGAACAATAAAGAAGTAAAAATTATTCCATAGTTTTAGTTTTATAAGTAACACTCAGGTATATAAGCCTATAAAAATCTATTGTTTTCTTTTGTGAATTAACAAAGTTTATAGAAAAGATTAATTTCAAGAAAAGTACAGTAAGCTTCCCTCCCTTTATTTATATAAGAAGGTTCAGTGATTGTGTTTCAAAGTGGAAGCCAACTGCCTGACACGCGTCCTGGACACACTCCGCATCTCCTCAGAAGCAGCACGAAGGTCTACCTTCCCCCACGGTGGACACTAGTGGGGAAGGAACCACAACAAGAGCAGGGTAATAACCCGGCCCAGTTAACAGACTGTCTCGGGCTGAGCTGAGCTTGTATGTTGAAGTCCTAACCTCCGAGCCTCGGAACATGACCTCGTTTGGAGATAAGACCTTTAAGGAGGTAATAAGTCAGTGAAGCCATTAGGTGGCCCTACTCCAATGTGACTGGTGTCCTTAGAGGAGATCAGGACAGAGACACGGAGGAGGTGGCCATTGACAAGCCAGGGAGAGAGGCCGCAGAGAAACCAAGACCTCTGGCCTCCAGAATTCAGAAAACAAGTTCCCGTTGGGTAAGCCACCAGGCTGTGGTGCCGTGTTATGGAAAACGAACACACAGGTCCACAGAGAACTATTTTCTTCCCAAAGGCATTGGCAATCACTCTGGATGACATTTATGATGTAATGATGGCACTGGCATGCCATGGGTCACAGATGCAATGATTTTACACAGGGGTTCTCTGAAGCCAAAACTTACTTTCAAGATTCCTCTAGGTCAGTGATCGGCAAACTATGGCTCGTGAGCCACATGCGGCTCTTTGGCCCCTTGAATGTGGCTTTTCCACAAAATACCACGGCCTGGGCGAGTTTATTTTGAAGAAGTGGCATTAGAAGAAGTTTAAGTTTATGTGGCTCTCGAAAGAAATTTCAATGGTTGTCCTGTTGATATGTGGCTTTGTTGACTAATGAGTTTGCCGACCACGGCTCTAGGGTAAAGAGACTGAGAAAGGCTGTTGGTTCTAGAGCTTCGCCCCTTCCTTTGCATTTCATCTACTTGGACACAGCTCCTCAAGACCCCGCTTTGCTGTTCCACTTCACTCAGGGACCCCAGTGTGTGCGAAGGGCCAGTTACAAGTTCCAGGCAGCGCACTAGGGATACCATGGTGAAGAGACTTCCCACCTCCTGGAATTTTAGCCTAATGGGAGCTATGAACGCTACTTGGTCATGTTTTAGTAAATCCTATGGCAGCCCTGTAGCCCAAGGGAGGGACATTTACCACCTCCAAGATTCAAGGAAGTGATGAGAGGAAAAGAGTAGGGCTTAGCCAAGCAAAGTAGGGTGAGTGCCAGGGATTCTTCCAGACAACAGGAGGAGATGTAGACCAGCCATGGCAAATATAGCTCGCTATGACCCTCTGCACTCCGAGGTGACTGTCCTCATTCGTGATGAGATAAAGTTATGGGTTATGATTTCAAATGGACTTTAGGATCCAGGCCAATATCCCTGATGAATTCAGATGTAAAAATCTTCAACAAAATATTCGCAACCCAAATTCAACAATACATTAAAAGGTCACACACCATGGCCAACTGGGATTTATTCCAGGGATGCAAGGTTGGTTCCCACATAAATAAAATAAAGGACAAAAATCATATGATCATATCAATAAATGGGGGGGAAAAGCATTTGACAAAATTTAACATCCATTTATAGTAAAATCTCTAAGCAAAACGGGAGGGAACACACTTCAACATAATAAAGGGCAAACATGACATACCCACATGTAACATACTCAATGCTGAAAGTCTGAAAGCGTTTTCTCTAAGATCAGGAACAAGACAAGGATGCCCAATCTCACCACTTTTATTCAATATAGCAATACTCTAAGTTCTAGCCCGGCAATCAAATAAGAAATAGAAGGCATCCAAAGTGGAAAGGAAGAAGTAAAACTATCATTGTTTGCAGATGACATGATAAATATATATAACCCTAAAGATTCCACCAAAAAGCTATTAGAAATAATAAACTAATTTAGTAAAGTTGCAGGATACAAAATTAATATTCAGAAATTGGTTATATTTTTATACATTAATAATGATCAGGAAGAATTTTTTAAAAAAAATCCCATTTACAATTGCACCAAAACAATAAAATACCGAGAAATAAATCTAACCCAGGAGGTAAAGGAGCTATGCTCTGGAAACTACAGTATATTAACGAAAGAAACCGAAGAAGACACAAATAAATGGAAGGATGTATCAGTCTCATGGACTGGAAAAATTAATATCATTAATATGTCCATATGAGCCAACGCAATCTACAACGTCAATGTAATCCCTGCCAAAATACCAGACATTTTTCACATAACTAGAACATATAATCCTAACATTTATATGGAGCCACAAAAAGACCCCAAATAGCCAAAGAATGCTGAGAAAGAACAAAGTTGGAGATATCAAGCTACCTGTTATCAATCCACACTACAAAGTTATAATAATCAAAACAGCATGAGACTGCACAAAAACAGGCAAACAGATCAACGGAACAGAATAGAGCTCAGAAATAGACCCATTCTTCTCTGGTCAATTACTCTGTGGTAAAGGAAGCGCTGGAGTAAAGACAAGACAGTCTCATCATTAAATAGTGCTGGGAAAATTAGATAGATAAATGCAAAAAACAAACAAAAAAACCAGAGGAACCTTTGTAATAATATGAACAATAAAGATTGATTAAAAAAAAATTTTTTTAAAAACACACCAAAATAAAACTACTACTCTTCTTTCTTACAACATATACAAACAAACCCCAAATGGATTAAAGATCAAATGTAAGAGCTGAAAACATAAAACTTCTAGAAGAAGCCACAGGCAATAAACTCTTTGCAATATCTTTTTGGATATGTCTCCCAGGGCAAAGACAACAAAAACAAAGATAAACAAAGAGGACTACATCAAACTCAAAAAGCTTTTGCACCATGAAGAAACCATCAACAAAACAGAAAGACAGCCTACTAAATGGGAGAAGATATTTACAAAGGATACATCTGATAAAGGGTTAACATCCAAAAGAGATAAGGAAGTCCTACAACTCCAAAGAGCAAACAGTATGATTAAAAAAATGGGCACAAGACTGGATAGTCTCCAAATAGGACACACAGACAGCCAGACACATTAAAGATGCTCAATGTCACTCACTAATCGTCAGGGAAGTGCAAATCAAAACTATGATGAGCTATTACCTCACCCGTCAGAAAGGCTATCATCAAAAAGACAACAAACAACAGGGTGACGTGGAGAAAAAGGAACCCTTGTGCACTGTTGGTAGGAATACAAACTTTTGCAGTCACTTTGGAAAACAGTATGGAGGCTCCTCAAAAAACTAGAAAAAGAACTACCATATGCCCCAGAATTCCACTTCTGGGTATTTATCTGAAGAAATAAAAAACACTGATTTGAAAGGATTCATGCACCCTTATGTTCACTGCAGCATAGTTACAACAGCCAAGATATGGAAGCAACCTAGGTGTGCATCGACAGACAAATGGATAAAGATGATGTGGTATGTGTATACAATAGTATATTACTCAGCAAAAAAGAAATAAGTCCAATCACTTGCAACAATATGGAACCTAGAGAATATTATGCTAAGTGAGTAAGTCAGACAGAGAAAGACAAATACCACATGATTTCACTTTCATGTAGAATCGAAAAAAACAAAATAAATGAGAAAACAGAACAGAACAAGCTCATAGATACAGAAGATACACTGATGGTTGCCAGATTGGGGTGGGGCTGAGAGGCCAGGTGAAAAAGGTGCAGGGCATTAAGAGGAACAAACTGCCAGTTATAATTAGTCACAGGGATGTAGAGTACAGCACAGGGAGTAGAGTCAATAACACTGTGCTCACTACGGATGGTGCCAGGTGGGTACTGGCTTACGCTGGTCACTTTATAAAGTGTCTTATCACTGTGTGATACACTTAAAACTAATGTAATATTGTATGTCAACTACAACAAAAATAAAAAGTGCTAAATTCAGCCGAAACCGGTGTGGCTCGGTGGATAGAGCGTCTGTAGACTGAAGAGTCCCAGGTTCGATTCCGGTCAAGGGCATGTACCTTGGCTGCGGGCACATCCCCAGATCAATAAAATATATATGTTAAAAAAAAGTGCTAACTTCAGCAGCATGTAAGCTAAAACTGGAACAGTACAGAGAAAATCAGCATGGTCCTTGTGCAAAGATAACATGCTGACTCATGAAGCTGTCCATATTTTTTATTGCATATTTGAAAGTTGCTAAGAGAGTAGATCTTAAAAGTTCTCATCTCCCCAAAAATATTCCATAACTGTGTATACTGAAAGATAGATGTTAAGTATATGTATGGTGGTAACCATTTTGCAATATATGCAAATATTGTATCATGTTGTACATCTGAAACTAATAATGTTGTCAATTATACCTGAATTTAAAAAATGTCTGTAGCAAAGGGTCAAGTCACAGAACACCTTTGTATGAACAGCATTTGTGAGACCCCCTCCCCGTGTAATACAATTCTACTTTTGTTTTAATCACCCAAATCCTCATTGCCACAGAAAGCTGCAAAGCAGAAACAACACTCTGCATCTGACGAACATCGCGCCCGAGGACCTCAGCACCTCGGAGCCTCACGCACCATTTCCCCTCCACACTTCAGCCAAGTGGCAACTGCCTTCTCCGGGCTCCTTGCAAAACTCCACGACATCTCGGCATGTTGTTTCTGGTGTTATGGGAACTTCTGTCAGAATCTGCTCGTTGTTGCTCAAAAACACGGTTAATATCATCTGTAAGAGAAAATATTAAGTCAAAGCTATAACTTAGTCACTATCATGAAGAGATTAATCTTGAATTGAATTGAAAACAACTCCCCACCTCCCCACAGCCACTCCACCCATCTCTCTCCCCCTCTCCCATCCCCACCAAAGCGCCTACAGGATCAGTTTTTGGAAATACATAAATGGATTCTGAAGTTCATGTAGAAAAATTAAAATGTACAAACAGCAGCAAAGTTCCAAAAGGGAAGACTGTTAGAAGGCACTAGCACTGCCAGACATCATAAAATGAACACCACGGCACTAGCAGACGGCGAGTCCAGAGATGTTGGATGACGAAGGCGTGTCTCAGTAGAGGAGGGACAAGACTACACAATGAATGGCGTACGAGCTACTGAACACCTGCCCGGTTTCATCCTGCACACCACAAACCAGCACCAGTTCCTGACTGATCAAACATGTAAAGGTAAATCATAAAGATATGGAAAGTTCTAGAATAAATGGGGCAATATCCTTTTTTATAACCTTGGAGTACATAAGCGCTTTCCAACCATGACTCAAAAAACTGACACCATTTAGAAAATAATATATTCAAGTAATTAATATAAGAACCTTTCACAAAGCAAAAAGACAAACTGGGGGAAATTATTTGCAACTCATATTACAAACAGAAAGCTAATCTCTTCGATATATAAAGGGCTCCTAAATTATAATATAGACCAAAAATCCAATTTATTTTTTAAAATTGGTTGAGATATTAATGTATCACAGTAAAAGAAATGCAAGTGCCCTTAAATATAAAAATACATTATAGCCGAAACTGGTTTGGCTCAGTGGATATAGCGTTGGTCTGCAGACTGAAAGGTCCCAGGTTCGATTCTGGTCAAGGGCATGTACACTGGTTGCAGGGTGTGCAGAAGGCAGCTGGTCGATGTTTCTCTCTCATTGATGTTTCTGGTTCTCTATCCCTCTCTCTTAATCTCTGTAAAAAAAAATCAATAAAATAAAAAATAAAAATACATTACAATGTTTTTGAAAAAATTAAAACTTTCTAGCATTTTTTATCTTTAAAAAGTCCTACCACTTTGCCCTAGCCCTGTGGTCGGCAAACTCATTAGTCAACAGAGACAAATATCAACAGTACAATGATTAAATTTCTTTTGAGAGCCAAATTTTTAAAACTTAAACTTCTTCTAATGCCACTTCCAAACAGACTCGCCCAGGCCGTATTTGTGGAAGAGCCACACTCAAGGGGCCAAAGAGCCGCAAGTGGCTCAAGAGCCGCAGTTTACTGACCATGGCCCTAGCCGGTTGGGCTCCGTGGATAGTGTCAGCCTGTGGACTGAAGGGTTCACAGGTTCGATTCTTGTCAAGGGCATGTCCTTGGTTGCTGGCTCCTTCCAGCCTGGGCCACGTGCAGGAGGCAACCAATCGATGTGTTCCTCTCACATGGATGCTTCTCTCTGTCTTTCCCTCCCTCTAAAAATCAATGGGAAAATACCCTCAGCTGAGGATTAAAAACAAACAATCCTACCACTTTGATCTAAGACCTGAAGAGATCGTGTAGGAAGAGAATTAAAAAAAAAAAAAAAAAAAAAAAAAAGACATTACTCTTAAAGTATAATTTAAATCAAAGATTTTCTTTTATCAGACAGCATTATAAACATTTATTTAATCTTTGGTCAAAATCAACAATAAAATCGGCATTTGTCCCCAAATTCTCATCTTAAAATTCTTTTTTCTTAGAAGAGCCCTAATTTTCTAAGTTTTGCGATTAAACATCTTTCTCTTAAGGGTCAAATGTTATGTAACCAAAATGAATCTAGCTATGAACTGGTCTCCTCACCAGCAACCTGCCCTTCAGCTCCTGCTCTAACGCAGGCGCAGTGCTTCCTGGCAAAGCACTCAGGAGCCTAACAGCAGCCCCTGGCCAGCCTGGCTTCTGGAACATCACCAGGAACCAGGTGTCTTCTGGGATTAGATTCTAAGGCTGTGCTGTTCAAAGTCTCTTCCCCCGAGACTCTCAGTGGGTTTGGACTCCACAGAAGACTGGCTTGGACGGCCTAGCCTACAGGGTATCTGCAAAGTCCCTTCCTCTCAGCCCTTCAGTCCCAGTGCCTTCCCACAGTGAACCTTGACCTTGCTCCTTCAACACCAATCACATTCTCTCAGGCTGCTGGCCCTCTGCCCATGCACCTGTCCTAGTTGCCTGTACACTCCTAGTCAACCTTCAACACTCAGCTCATATGCTACCACCTTTGCACAGCCTCCCTTCGCCACCTACTCTCACCAGGGAGGACTCGCGGTCCCTCCTTTGTGATCCGGGAACTCTTTGTTACATCACAGCTAACCCCTCCGCCCACCCACTGGGGATCTTCCATTTACCACTGCCCCATCAGCATCTGACACGGAGGAGGCACAGTAACGTCTGGTCGTCTCCACATAACACCATGCCATGGGACTGAGGAAATATTGCAGGAATCTAAGGTACAGCCAGTCTGTGTAATAAACAAGCAGTTTTCTTTCTGTTCTCCTCGGATATTATGAACACATTTCTATTTTATATGGAATATAAGTTATTTCTGCTCATTAACCCATATATATATATATATATATATATATATATATATATATATATTTAAAAGCGCGCACACACACACACACACACACACACAAACAAGGGGGGTCCTGGCCAGTGTGTTCAGTGGTTAGAGCATCAGCCCACGCACCAAAGAATCACAGATTTGATTCCCGGTCAAATGCATGTGCCTGGGTTGCAGATTCAACTCTGGCCCTGGTGAGTGCACATGAGGAGGCAACCAATTGATGTGTCTCTCTCACATCAATGTTTCTCTCCCTTCCCCTCCTTATACTCTTTCTAGAAATCAATGGAAAAAATATCCTCAGGTGAGTGTTAACAACCACCACCAAGAGCTCTTGAATATTGAAATAAATGAGCTGGAATCCATCGGATTGGGGATAAAATAGGTAATTCCTGGATCCAGTGTAAACAGGTCCAGGCTGAAAGGGCCTAATGCTCTATTTCACCAGAACATCTGGAGTGTATGCTTAGCCTCATCACACGCATTTCCTTTTCACTTCTAATGGTAAAGATCTTCCATGTGATTTCAGAGCCCAGCTCTCCAAGATCTAATAATGTATTTTCCCAAACCATGGGAAAATGGTTTGGGAAAATACATTATATATAAAAATTTCAAGTTAGGCCTGAGCCGGTTTGACTCAGTGGATAGAGCATCAACCTGTGGACTGAAGGATCCGGGGTTTGATTCCAGTCAAGGGAACATGCCCAGGTTGCAGGTTCAATCCCCAGAGGCAGTATACAGGAGGCAGTGATCAATGATTCTCTCTCATCACTGATGTTTCTATCTCCCTGCCTATCCCTTCCTCTCTGAAATCAATAAAAATCAATTTAAAAATATTTCAAGTTAGTAAGATATTCCTAACACTTTCCCAAGTGCTATTCCTACCACCCCCTACTCGCCAGCAGAGCTCTGCTCTCCTCAGCCTGACCATGGGCCTGTCTCCGTATAGAAGCCAGTGAGCCTTACATTGCTTCTAGAAAACGGGGCTCTGGCCAGATGCAGGCCTCACATGCTCCCTCCCACCACAGCACACAGCAGGCCCTTGAACACTCAAAGGCGCGGCCTGTGCTTACTCTGAAAGGCAGAGTTCTTTATGAACTTGCTGTCAGAATGCAGGACACTATTCTGGGGCACTTTTCAGCTCATAAAGTTCAACATGACGGGGGAGGGAAAAGAGGGGGAGTGGCAGAGTTGGGAGGCTGAACACGGATTTTTAAAAGTTAAGAATACCCAGGAAACTTATACAAAGATCACCAAAACTACTTTTTAATTCTACTTTATAGTCTTTAGAAAACCCTGTATTTCCTAATCTTAGCAAAATACATTTCCCCCAATCTTTACTATTCAACCAAAGCAAGCTAATTTCTTTATAATCATGATAGATTAAAAAGCTTTCAAGATAATGAAGTTGGCATTGACCTGGACGGCACATTATTTCCCTAAAGCAGCATCTAAAATTAAAGCTGAAAAGACATGTGACTGCTACTGTTATTCTAGCAAGATTGCCTTAACTTAAAAATACGGGAAGAACCTCCAACACATATATCAGAGTATTGATTCTAGGAGCACTGTGTTTTGTTTACACTGTAACATCTTAGAAATCACAACGTATCTTACAATTGACAGCATGTCACAATTTAACGAGTCCTGTTTTTTCCTTTCTTAAGAGTACATATAAAATAGAGATGGAACCCAATAGGGTTAAGGATTAAGTGAACAAAAGCAAACAACTATAGAAAAAAAAGTTAATGTTTAAACTTCCTAAAAGATTAATGTGCTGAAAATAAAAGATTTGGTTAAATGCAGTTAGAAAAACACAGATTTATAAAATGTGCTGTAAGAAGTATTTGATGACAAGATGTATGTCTTTCCTCAACTGTTTCCTCTGTCCTGCCCCTGCTCCATCTTCTCCACCCCCCCCCCAATGTCTACCTTTCAGACGTGCTTCCTGCCCTCGCCTGCCCATCCTGCCCCAGTCCACCCGTCCTGACCCCGTCCATCCATCCTGCCCTAGTCCATCCATCCTGACCCTGTCTATCCATCCTGACCCAGTCCATCCATCCTGACCCAGTCCATCCATCCTGACCCCGACCATCCATCCTGACCCAGTCCATCCATCCTGACCCAGTCTATCCATCCTGACCTAGTCTGAGACAGAGTCTCCTTCTGCCCTCCTGTAATAGACAGTGGCTATTTTTAGCACAACATTCTTACACTAAATTATCAGTGGTTCTCATGATTATATCCTCTACTGGAACAGTGTCTGTGATTCATGGGAGTGAGTTGTGACCTCGTCTTGGAATCAACAAAGCATGTCCCAATATGCACATATTTTTGTTTATAAAAAAAAAAAAAAAAAAAGCCTGCCCTAGCTGGTTTGGCTCAATGCTGAAGGGATTCTGGTCAAGG